GGCAGCCCCAAAACCACCCTCATCACCCCACACCAGAGTTGGGGACCCCAAAACCATCCCCATCACCCCACACCAGGGCTGGGGACCCCTCGGCCATCCCCGTCACCCCACACCAGGGTTGGGGACCCCAAAACCATCCCCAGTCCCCGTCACCCCCACACCGATGCGTAAAGGGGTGGCAGCGCTCGGCGGTGTCGTGACAGCCTGGACCCTCCTTATTAATTAGTGAATTAAAACTAACGAGAAACTTGGAAGCGCTTGGCCGAGCTGCGCCGAACACCCCCCGGGGATTTGGGGTACGGGGTCGGGGGGTACCCCGAAGCAGGAGCACGGGGTTATTGTAGGGTCTGCCGGTAAACAGCACGGCGGGTCCGGTTTCTGCCGTAACCTCGGCGCCCGCCAAGCGGCAGCGATTTATTAACGGGGTTAATTAATCGGCGGAAGGAAGATCTGGACGCCGATCCCGTCCCGGTGACATGAGGCACCGCCGGGTATTACCGGTGGTACCGGGTACCCCCCCACTCGGGGTGATGCTGATGAGGCGGTGACAACAGAAAGGAGAAGGGACCGGAAAAAAAAAAAACCACCGGGAAGAGGAGGAAACGCCAAATTTGGGGTGGAAGAGAGGGGTTGGGACGGCGGTGAAGCCACGGGGTGGGATGAAGGCTCCGAGCTTCACCGGAGCTACAAGGTGAAGTAGTCGAGAGCGCCGTGGCGGCAGAAACTGGCGGTCCAGACGGCGTTGGCTCTGCCGGAACTCACCAGCATACGGCACAGTTCGGCGCTGAGGGCGGCGAAACGTTCTTCGTCCACCGCGTCTTCCGAAAGCCAACCGGAGGACGGTCGGAGGGGTTGGGGCACGTAGCAGTCCACGGGGTAAGGGTAAATAACCAAACGTAAATCCGGGAGAACCACGGTTCGCCGTAACAAGGTTTTGAGTCCAGACGTGGAGAGGGGATTGCCGAAAAGTCCCAAGCACCGGAGCCGGGAGCACCGGCAGAGCGCCGGTAGCAGAGCATCCAACCGAGAGTCCGTCAGGTGACATTCCATGAGGTCCAAGTGGAGGAGAGAGGTTGAAGTCTCTTCCAGGAGACGTCGGAGGGGCGGGAGAAAGTTCTCGGAGATATCGTGACCGCTCAGATCCAATTTCTTCAGCGTCGGAGCGTGGGGGCTTTGGGAAAGGAAAGCGATGTCGCCGGGAAGGAGGTAGCAGAAGGCCAACTCCAGACTTTCCAGTGGAACCTGCAGGTCGCTGCCGGAGTGGGAGAAGGGGGGGAAAAAAAATGAGCTGTGAACCCCTCTCCGAGGTCCGGGTATGAGGAGGGAGGGAGCTGCCACCGGAATAAACCGGGGCCTTGGCACGGGAGAGATGCGGACCCGGTGGAACGGGGCCAGAGGAGGCCACCGAGATGCTGGGAGGGCTGGAGCCCCTCTGCTGGGAGGACAAACTGGGAGAGTTGGGGGGGTTCAGCCTGGAGAAGGTGAAAAAGGGGAGACCTCAGAGCCCGTTCCAGTGCCTAAAGGGGCTCCAGGAGAGCTGGGGAGGGACTCTGGATCAGGGAGGGGAGCCATGGGACGAGGGGGAACGGTTTGACGCTGAAAGAGGGGAGATGTAGGTGAGATATTAGGGAGAAATTCTTCCCCGTGAGGGTGGTGGAACACTGGAACCAGGTTGCCCCAAGAAGCTGTGGCTGCCCCATCCCCAGAGGTGTTGAAGACCAGGTTGGACGGGGCTCTGAGCAAGCTGGTCTAGTCGAAGATGTCCCTGCTTACGGCAGGAGGTCGGACTCGACGGCCTTTAGATGTCCCTTCCCAAACCATTCTCCGATTCTCCGTATTAAATCCTTGAATTTGGGTTGGGATGGTTCCCGTATTCCCAGAGGAACCGCGGCGAATCCCAACCCCTCCCACAACCCCGTGAAGTTCCCCCCCACCGCCTTCAAGAGTATGAAAAGAGCAGGTTGAGGAACCCACTCCGCTAAAAACTTACCCCAAAAGTTGCCCCAGTTTCCCCGAAAGCCTGGAGGAACCCAAATTGAGCTCCTTCAGGCAGGGCAGCTTCCCCAACTGGGCGGCGAGGCGCCGAAAGCCGACGTCCGCCCCCGCCGCGAGCCGCCGCACGTTGACGTTGCTGTAAGGCAGCTTGAGGCTGAGGAGATCGGTAAATCTGGCGAGGTGCGGCAAAACGGCGCAGAGACCGGCCAGCCCAAGGTTGTTGAAACGTAGATCCACCCGCCGTACGCCGGCGGGTTCCAACAATTCCAGTAAACTCACGGTGCCGGCGACGGAGAGCTCCTCGG